ATGGTGAAAAAACACTATTACATTGGAAGTTCTTTGAGAGCAAGAAAATGCCTTTAGGTTTACGGTTGTAGCTCAATGTCTGAAGAAATACCCAGATATAGTATACAATTTAGTATAGATAATAAGTGTTTAGTGAATAAGTGGATATCACATTTATTGCATGAATAAATAAAGGATGGATACTACTTTCAGCCCTACCTAGTGCAGGGTTGTTTCGAGGATCATATGAAAGCACATGTGACTGGATCTTGTGAACTGAACAGATTTATGGTTCCTTTTGTTCTATTCCTATTGTTATATTTCAGACAGAACATGCTGGCTCCATCATCTTAATTGCATTTATAAATATATCTATGGCATTTCGAATCATTCCTTATGCCTGCATCTGTTTAGACAGCAACTGATTAAAGGATGTTTAGTTCTGAATAGCTTTATGTATTTTAAACTGGAAATGTATTTTCCCCGTCTTGATATCTAATTAATTTTTTTTCAAATCAAGTGCTCAAGCCTAGACATATGGACCATTAGGTTGACTATCACAATATTTTATTATTTTTCAAGAAATAAGATGTTTTGAAGGCTCTGTATTTTTTGAACCTGTTATAAGTTGTTAAATGTTGTCACAAAAGAGCCTTCAGTTTGATGTATAGGGCACATTATTTCAGGGAAGTACACTGTCATATGGCATTATGACACTTGAACTCCAGGGAGAAATTTGAGAAGAGTGTTTGGCCAATATGTTCTAACCGTCTTCCTGAAGCTGCCTAATGCTTGCTGTGTTTTGACCCCAATTCTCCCAAAGCACATTTCTCCTACCTCCCACTATGTTTCAAACTCCCACTGATGCATCATTAAAAGTTGAGACGACAGATCCTAGGCAATCCAAAAGTCACTTCTTTGGATGTTACATTCATTTCTACCCCAACCTCTAAAAGTGATTGGGACAGCTGTTCCTACTTAATTGCCTTTAATACAATGTATTTAATCTTTTAAAATCACGTAGATAGACTTTCTAATAATAAATGAAGTATTTGCTATCGCAATTTAAATTCATTTCGTTTACTGTTCTAAGAGGGGACAAAAGAGAAAGAAATCTTTCCACAGTACCCTAAACTATTACATATGATAGCTCTATCGTAACAAATCTCTTTGCATTGCACAGATTCAGATAGAGCATGAGCCAAATTATATCTTTAAATGAAACCTAAAAAAGAGACACGGTAGAGTCTCGTGCCAAAATGGCAGGTGAGAGGGCTTCTCTCCCCAGCACTGAAAAGATTTCCATCTCAATTCTTCAAATAAATAATTTGTACTCTTAAGGAACAGTGAGTGGCCACCTGTGAGTCCTATGCAGGGTCCTTGTAGGATTCTCTGAAACCATACCTTGCTTTGACAGGTGTTCAGTGAATCCCAGGTCGCTGCTCTCCCAGAAGCTCCCTGCCTCAGTGCCTGGTTATTTCCTTTTCAAAATTTGCTCTCATTGAACAACACTCTGTTCCTGAGCTATTGAGGTTAAAACACGAGAATAGTAATTGAATTAGTCAACCTATAGATGCTATGAATGCCTGGATATTGGAAACCTGGCAGCAGAGACGTAGAGTGAGGAACATTTTTACTTTTCACTCAAATATCTATGAATCACATAGATTCCATGCAAGTCCACTGACAGGAGCTCTTCATTCAGAAGAAAGACCAATGCTAGGGAATTTCATTCTCACAAAATTTGCCAATCAATCATGCATTTTACTGACTGTTACTCTAAGTTTTACTGACTCCGTAGAGACAATATTGTCTGAAATAAAACATTTAGTCAGTTAAGTGTCACTCTCATCATTCCTCTTTCCACTCCCTTTCTCGCTATGGTCCACCTAGACTACTTACAAAGAAGTGGTTTTCGTGCCTCTGTTTTTCTAAAACAGGTTTTTAAATGAAATAAAAGTCAGTTACCAACAGCAACAGGAAAATCTATAACTAAAAAAGCTGTAAGAGCTTTTCAAGATTGAGAAATAGGTGGTTAACATTATATTATTATATTTTTTAAACTAGATTTCCCATCCGAGAAATGCTTTAATTGACCAACTTGAAAAGTCTATCAATACATGTGAGAATTCTTGCTTAGAAGCTGATGTTCGGGTGAAGGTGACAAAAGAATATATATCTATTTAACAAATGTAACTCATTTTATTTTTAAATAGTGCCTTCTTGCAATGGTGTTGCTGTTGCTTTTGTGAATATTAACAGAGTGAATATTTCATTAGTATGAGTACTTACACAAAACATGGAGAAGTAATTTAATGCTCCAATCTTTAAATTATCAGCTAATTTATACCACGTATGTAAGAAAACATGGAAAACCAGGCATCCCATATAAGTGGTTTCCATTGCTTCCAGTCCAAATGTAGACAGACACATGCTGAGTGAAGTCAACAAGGTTAGATCACAGGTGCTATGGGAATCGGCTAGGGAATTGGCAGAGGAAGCAGAGAGTAACTCCAGGACCAGCAGATGGCGTAATGGTTACGTAGCTTGCCTCCCATGTAGTTGACTGTGGTTCAAGTCCTGGACTCGGTGACTTAAAACTCATACCAGGCACATGTGCACATGTGTTCAAAATCCTGGGAGAAGATGGATGAGAAGGAATTGAGGAATGGCCATTCTCTTTGGTATCTATTTGGGGGGGGTGTATTTCTCACTTTCTGTCTCTCTTTCTCTCTCTGTCTCTTTGGCAAATGCACATACTCTATAGCAAAAATCTCTCTTTTAAAAAAGGGTTATAAAATACCATATATTTACTGATGAAGAGAAGTTGTGGTTGAGATTGGTTTTCCTCTCCACCCTCATCCTCCAAGGTTTCCTGGATCTTAGTCCTCCTTCCTTGTTTACATCTCTGCTATGGCTGACCCTGACGTCTTCAACTGATCACTAGGCGAGCCTAGCTGCCTGGGATGTTTTTTGTTCTACTGAGCATCTGCCAGCTCCTGCATGTAGGGATGAAAGCCATGGAACATTAAATTTTATTTCAACATGTACTCACTAAGCACCCCATAGGTATAAGAAACATTGTGATTGTAACTTAAATTCTCTTTATTCAGATTCTCTATTTCCATATTGCTCTTTCCTTGGTTCTATCCCCTAATCTTTGACTGGGGGGAGGGGGCGGTATTTGATTTTCTTCCACACCTTTGCTTCTCCCTTTAATTATTTTCTGTTCTTTTATTGATTCTTTTCACATTGATCTTTCTCTATTTCTATTTTTGGCATAGTTTCCTGCTTGTTACTTTTATTTCTAACTCTAGAGCAAATCCAATTCCAAAATAATATGACTTAACTGGAGCAAGGAACACACTCAGTAGCAATGTTGAAATACTTACCACTCCTATCACTGTGCTATTAGCTCAAGTCACAGAACAGGTGGGAAGAATGGAGTGATACTAATCTCCATTGTTTTATCATTTTACTTATAAGTTCTACTGGAGGTAATGAGCACAGTTCGGGTAATAAAACCTTTGGCAGAGTATTGTTTCATAGAGACAATGATATCCTATAGAAAATGAAACCAGGCAGGAGGTCAGGACAGCGGGTAGCCTCCAGCTTTACTGCCATGATGCACACTTCATCACGGTCCGCAATGCTGTAAAATGGAGAGGATAGTTGATCCCTCTACCTGACTGATTTGGGTTAAGGTTAATTAGAAATATATGTAAAAAGACATTGCTCTTTAGAAGGGAAACAGTGTCAACAATCCAGTATTTATTATATGGTTGTCGGGGAAACATGGTTTAGAGATTTTGCCACAGAAAGAGAAACAAGTCTTTATTACCAGGTTGACTTAGCTCATCTCCTCCAGGCTTCAGAGCCTTTGGAGTCAGCAATGGGACCTAATCAGCAATGGCCTTTTGAGCTCAATAGGCTTTTGGGAACCTTCTTCTTATAGTAGTGGATTTGCTTTCCTCCAAAGCCTCTGGGCAGCCTTTGCAAATATTGTTAAACCCCTTCCTCAAATTCTACAACAATTTGAAGAGCAGAAGAGAATGAGAAGTGTGCATGACTATGTCCCATAATAGAGAGGTCCCTGAAGACACAAACATAAGAGAAAGGGACATATGCTCTTAGCCTCTATCAGACACTATTTCTCAATCAGCCAATGAAACAAATATCCAACATGGGTCCCGATGGTCAGATGAGAGAGTATATAAAAACCTATTAAATATCCAATTTCATGGCATCGATGCTGAAAAAAAAATGATCTTTTTTCTCTTTCTACTGAATGAGCTTACTCAGAAATACTGCTTATTCACTAGTACTCTGAAATATAGACTTTTAAAGGGTCACTTCCACCCCTAGCCTGTTTCCAATTATATAAAGATGTTCTTCTCTGTGAATCTTGCATAACTTTGTGCATAATTCCCTTAGAATCTTTGACTTCATTTATAACTCTGAGAGAAATTCTATGAAGGTCTTCGAAAATCAAAACCTTTTATTATAAGCACATTTTCAGATTCCTTTCATAATGCCAGCCCCTCAGAAATCTTTACCCGTTTGCCTCTCAACACCCCCTTCTTGGAATGAGAAAATATAAAAATGTCTACTAGTAAACAAGTTTGAGAATTCCTTCCCTGAAAAAGTCAATAGTAAAAACCGAACAGAAATAGAAAAAACAATCATTAACTCTGTAGTTCGGATCCATTTTTTGATTTCTCTTTAAATACAGAATGACCAATTAGCCTCTGCTTAATTTCATGCATATATACTTATATACATATATTCTTATACACGCACAGATACATGCTTGAATGAATATATTTAAAAACATGGAATGGTAACATGGCACATGCTTAGGTTCTGTGCAAACACTTAATCTTTCCTGTGAAGGAAACATATTAATATTACAAAAACAAGTCATGGAGAGTGACATGCAACAAGTGAGGGGAGGAAAATAGGATTGAGGCAGGGGAACAAAAGGGACACGAAGAATGTAAAGAACAAAAAGTGTCATTGACCTGATTTGTCAGAGCTGTTGCCTGTGATTGGAGTGATGGAGCAGCTGGGATTAGCCTTTGCGCTGTCCTTGGAAGAAACCATTTTGGGTTTATTTTTCGTTGCCTCTAGTGCTTTGACCTTCTTGGCATGTTTACTTCCTTTGTAGTGGGCCTCGGCCTGGCTCTACAAAGGAGAACAAATCAGGCTCATTTTCTTGCTACTTACACACACCACAATGGATGATCATGCAGGAAAAAGATACATTCGATCATAGGCACCACAGACATTTACCACTCAGCACTTGACTCCATTTTGGGCATTTAATGAAATGGCTGACCAGTATCTAAGAGGTTTCAGCATATTGAAACCTTCCATAATACAGAGAGATCTTGTATCTTTAAAAAAACCACACATTACATGAGGGGACAACAGGGTTAGGTCAAAATTGTAATGAAGGTGAGTTTTGTCATCAGTGTCCTCCCACCACTGCCCTTGGGGTTACTTTTCAAACATTTGACTGGAAGCATAGGCTTCAAGTACATATCCCATGCACACAGCTTGACCTTTAATATCAACATCCCTTAAGCTAAAAGCTGGTGTGCATGTGTCTACTTCTGGACTCTGCTCTGAGATCGGCTGGTGCAACAGAACAGCATGTTAATAGATAATATTGAGTGGAAATTATACTACATTTTGGAGAAATCTACATGTGTTTCATGCATCATTTTAATAATTCCAGGCCTAAGAACAGATAATAATAGTTTTTTTTTAAGTTCATAGAAAATGCACATTATGAAAAAATAACTATGCATGGATTTAAAATTTTTTACACTAAAATGAACCTGTATGTTAATTCAATTTTCCCATGAATTGTTTGATGTTTCAGCATAAAAGAGGAAGAATCAATCCTTGTTTCTGATCTGAGATGTGATTCTGAAGTCAAAGCAGTTAGTGTTAAATTTGTCTATAAAGAAAGTATATGTAGAACTGTAACTTCAAGACCAAATGGAAGAAAAAAGAGCAAGAAAAGTAGCTATTAATAATCTTCAAATAACAAAAACAAATTCTACATACCTAGAAAACACTCATTCAATTGCTAGTATTTGGAAAATTCCCCTTTACTTAATAAGTTTTTTGTTTGTTTGTTTGCTTTGTTTAGTTTTGCTTTTATATGTTTTTGGTGTCTAGCACTAATGTACACATTAACAAAAGATTGTAAGACTATTCATTTGAGTTTGATTTTGAAGACCCTCAAAGATAAAACCATGCAATTGAAAAAAAAAACTGTATTAGATAGTTTATTAGCTTAGGTATAAAGTTGAAGTGGGTAATAAATCTCAAATAAAACATAATGAGTATTCAGAGGATCTTGAAAGTAGTGATGCCCCTCTACCCTTTTTTTTAGATTATTTTTCTTTAGGTAACTGTATATGTTTGATAATGATTTCATAAATTTCTCCATCTGTTTTCCTCAGCAAGCAGGACACCAGTAATGTATGCGTGTGTGTGTGTGTGTGTGTGTGTGTGTGTGTGTGTAGGTAGGTAGTAGATAGAAATGCCAGTGGACAGAATTGTCTCTCTATCCTTAGGGGCCAATGAGGTCACAAATATATGGAGATAACATGTGTAATGCAGAGCCATACAGATGCAAGAGTGAGCTGGAACAGTGAAACATGCATGTTATGAGAGAGAGAACAGTGGTATTAATAGAGACTTCCCATTAAAATTGGTAACTATTGATTTGAGATTTAAAGAAAGGGATACCTATGAATTGGTAGAGACAGGTACATTTCTGATAGGATTTAGGCCTAAACAAAGGACTGAGGCTCAAGTGCCAGTACAGTAAGGGGTACGGCTGGAGAGGAGCTCACACAGGCTTCTTGGTAGCATGTCTTCAACACAAGAAAGGCCAAGAAATTAATGTGCTGCTATGTAAAGACATGAGATTCTCAAGAAAATGCATGATGATACAAGTTTCAAATGGGGAGGATTTCTGCAACAACTTCTTTATTACATGTTTGTTGATCAAAAAAAGACATGAGGCCTACAAGAAGTCAGCAGGTAAAATATAAGGTTCTTTTGTTTCATGAGTAGGGAATATGAATAAAATAAAAATGTCCTAACATCATATTATCACTGACTTCTTGAACCCTTGGTTATATTAGTTCTGTTGCTGCCCTTTGCTTAAGTGGAATCATTTCACTGTTAACTAATACATAAAAAATAGTCTTCCAACATACCACCATTAGATACAGCCCTCTAAGGCTAATTTTCATGTGTTTTTGGAACATTTTTGCTGACTTCCCAGCTTGTTCTACTCCAGATCACCAGGTATACGTGGCTTTGTTACCTTCGGACATCCATCTACACACACTTCAACAGAAGTGGCTATGGTGAATGCTACATCGATGCCAGCAGTACTTCTGGATCTTGGTGGGGGTAAATCCACTTTACTCTGAGTTCATAAATGATTCTGATGATGTTGTTCATGTTCAGTATTATGTCTGATGCAACCACAAGTGTCAAGGGACATGAAGACTTAAAACATTATCCTCATGTATTTGCTGCCCTGTGAGAGTGGGAGCTTGATGACAGATTCACGACACATTCTGTTTTTCAGGGTTCTTCAATTTTACTGTGGTATTTCTTGTGGTGTGGGAGGCAGTTAGGAAAATAATATATTACTTTGGCCCCAGTGTAAGCTAGGGGTAGCTTGTAATTCTGTATTACAACTAGAGCTCTATCAGTGATTTCCCTAGTAATAACCGCAGTCATGCAAACTCAATAGCTCTGTACCTACTGCACAGTCAGTAACTTCCTAAATATCTTTTCCAACTGTCATTGACTTATCGTTGCTTTTACTTGGTTGTTTAAAGATTTCTCATATTTTTCTTTGTGAAGTTGAAAAAAATAATTCAAAAGAAAAAAGTGCTCATATTAAATCCATAATTATCAATCAAGAATAATTCAATATAGCTAAAAACATCTATGTGGTTATAAATTAAAAAGACAGGCAAATAAAAATTTGAAAATCAATAATGCAAAGAAACAGTAATAGCAATAATTAATATTACTAGGCACTGTTCCAGGCACAGTGCTAAATGCATCACATACATTAGCTCACTTAATCTTTGTAACAGTCTAAGGGGTAGGTATCACTATTAACTAGTACTTTACAAATGAGAAGTGAGCATAAAAAGGGTAAAAAAACTTCTGAAATATCACACCGGTAGGTGTATCTTTTTTTTAAAGAGGTTTTTGCTATATAGCGCATGCGCTCTCCAGAAGGACAGAGACAGAGAGACAGAAAGCGAGAAATCACCCCCCAGGGGGGATGGTCACGCCGCAATCCCTTCTCCTCTCGGGATCTTTTCAAGTACATGCATGCACACGCGCCCGGCGTGAGTTTTAAGCCACCGGGTCTGGGACGTGAACTGCGGTTGACTATATGGGAGTCCAACAACATAGCCATTATGCTAACTGCTGGGTCCCCACACCAGTAAGTGTAGAAGTCACTTAGCAGCTATGACTGCTTCCTGTGTACTCCCGTTTGATTATGTACCTACTCATTATATATCCATATACCCACACTGAGTGAACTTCGTAATTTTAGGACCTAAATTATTTTATAATTTGTACTGTTAATGAAAACATGCATAAAGAAAGCACACTGCTTTTAATGACTCAGTAGTGAAGGATTATATCTTTTATGTTGCTGTATTTATTTACAAGCCGCAGGGTTCTGCACTTCCCAGAGACAGACAGGGAGGTGGAGGGAAGCAGCCCCCAGTGCGGCATAGTCGTGTAGCAATCTTTTCTCCTCCATTTCTTCATCTTGTCTGGATTTGGGGCATGTGATTACATGTGCCTGACATGTTTTTCAAGCCACCAGGGTGAGGTTCAAACCAGTCAGTCAGCTATGTGGGATCCAGTTCCCTTAATCACTACACCATAGGACTGTGTAATCCTTTGGATTACATCTTAATGCTGCAGTGTTCCTGTGATTAGGAAATATCTACTTATTTATTAGTTCTTATCCTTCTGGTGAGTTGCTAAGAAAGTCCCACTTGTTAGATATATACCTATCTCTACAAGATATGAGGAAATCTCCTAAAAACTCATCTTTTCAAGTACACCAAATTGTGCAGTGTTAACTTAAGTGCCCTTTGGCTAAAGAAACATATGTTTCTTTAAATAAAACCTCCCAGTACAAGATAAGCGGGTGTCATTTCCTCATTACTATTTCCTGGCAGCGCTGCAGAAAGTTAACAGCATCAATTAGCACTTGGGCTTGAGATCCAGCTATGTGACACTTCACTGGATGCCAGGATGGGAAGAACTCTCCACAGCCATGATCCACTTTGCCTTGGAGTTCTGGGGCATGGACAAGCCTTCTTAGCTGCCATAGACTGTTGTTTGGGAAAAGGGAAAGGAAGGCTGTGGAATAAAGACAGAGTGACAAGTGCCACTCAGTTACATTTGGCAGCTTTTCAATTCCCCTGTGGTATTCTTGGTAGTGGCACTTTGCTCTCCTCAGGCCTGTATCTGAGGTAGTGTTAACAGCTTCTAAATCCTGGGCAAAACTTCAAGTGAAACTGAGACACTGTTAAATAGAAACAAGATTAACCTGACTTCATTATCTAGGAATCTCTTTAATTGAGGAGTGAAGGCAGCAAGAAAAAGAGCCAGAAAACCCGTGAATTAGGCAATACAATTAAACCCATCAACAATGGCTTTCCTAGCACTTCTCAGAGCCTTGGCCGGCCAGGCTCCTGGCTCTTTACATCCCAGTGACTAATGAGCAGACAAGTTTGTCCAGCACTAATGACTTGCTTTCTGCCTCCCCTCCTAAAGTACTCCTGTGGCCCCAACTAGCAGTGACCAAAGATACCTCTTGACAAGGATTGCCAGAATTAGAATGCAATGCCCAGAACATCATATTGACCTCCAGATAAGAATTCATCAGTATCTAGGTTCTTCTCTGAAAGGCCACTCTAGTAGGAAGCCACCCACTGGTAGAGACATAACTTTGATAAGAAATGAAAACTTGGATCTTGTTTTTCTTCCTTTAAGCATTTTTGTTGCTAAAGCCCTTCACTTTCCCAAATCTTCTACATTGGTCCAAACAAACAAGCAAAAAGTAAGAATGTGAATGTATTACTTTATTTGTTTAAGAATATTTA